CCCACAGGCACTGACCCAGCCCCTTGGGACAGTTTTAAATTATTAGCAAAGAAAACACACAGTGCAGGATGATATTTTTTGACTGAGACACCAAGATATGATCCAGATACCAGGGCAAGGGGTGAGATGAGGGCCATGAGGTACACATTTTCTAAGGGACTCTCAGACAAACAGTCACACAATTCTTGAGCCCCTTACCCAGAGGCCTCCACTCCAGTGGGAGGGGTTCAAAGGGCTGAGAGGTAGAGACTGAGTGAAGGCCTATGTGCTGAAGGCAGTTTCTTTAGAGAAGCCTGTGCCAGGCTGCCTGCCCTCTCTCAGGTTAGAGGACTTGGGGCAGGGCTGACCCTAGAAAGATGTGGACATGTGGAACTCAAAAAAAGCCAGAAAGTCGTGGGCCTGTGGCAACTCGAGCAACTCAAAACTGACTCAAGATAATCGCACCTGAATTGATGCCACACATATCAGTATCTTTCACAGGCCCCTGAGATAACATTAGTACCCCAAGTTTCAAAACTAAACATTGGGGCTAGCGGGTGGTGTAGTGGTTAAGGCGCCAGACCCAGTGGCTTGAAACTCACACTGGGCTTGTGTGTGTGAGTGTGTGTGTGTGTGTGTGTGTGTGTGTGTGTGCACCCAAAATCCCAAGAGGAGAATGGAGGAGAAGGGAGTGCAATGTGGCCATCCTCCCTGGGGTCTCACTTCCTCCTTCTCTGTCTCTCTCTCTCCAGCAAGCATACGCACCCTATAGTAAAAATCTCTCTAAAACAAAACAAAACACTTAACATTAATGAAGTACAGAAAAGAGAAGTGAGGTGCAGCTTCCCATGGCCTCACAGGCTACCCTAGTTGCCCTGCTCAAGGGATGGACCCGGTGAAAAGGGCACCACTTCTTTCTAACCCAAAGCCTTTGAGGGGGTCCTCACTGGTCCCACTCAGAGCCCACTATGTATGTGTCCCTCATAAGCAAATTGCAAGGAGGGGTAGCTCCAGAGGGACAGCAGGTAGGGGGACCACAAGGTTTTGGCGATACTACTAGGTCCTCCAAACAGTGGGTGGAAGACACACAAGCCTTGGACACAAGATGTGGGTCCCATTGTAGCAGTATTGATTTAAGGTCTTTTCAAAAGGAATTCTGCTCAAATGCAGCCTTCTGGGGCCTGAACCCCTCAGGAGGGAGATGGAGGGGTGGATATAACGTGAGGGGTAAATGACTGAGAGGTCAGAGGGCAGTCAGCCAAAGGACAAGCCCTTCTCATGACATGGGAGGTATGTTCAGAGGCATTCAGTGGGACAAGAAGCAGTAAACATGGGCCAGGCCCAGAGCACACAGCAACCTGCCACAGTGCTAGCCGAATGCCAGTTCTCCGGGTCCCTTTCCTCTCCTAGCTGCAGCGGTGAGTAGGAAAAGAGGTTAGGAAGTGGGGACCAGCTGTGGTGGCACATGCTGCAAAGACTCTGTTCTGGATGCAACCACAGAAGAGGCCTGGGTTAACTCCCAACGTAACCTAAAGGCCTTACGCCATGGTGCACGCCTGTTCATAGCAGCATTATGCACAATAGTCACAAAGTAGAAGCAAGCCAAATGGCCATTAACTGGTAAATGGTCTATCCAGATGGTGGAATACCACTCAGCCACAGACAAACGAAGTAGCGACACAAGCTACAGCAGGGATGAACCTTGGTAACACTACACCAAATCAAAGCTAGATGCGAAACAAAAACAAAATGGTACTATTTCATGTGCATGAAATATCCAGAACAGGCAAATCTATACCAACAGGAAGTAGGTCAGTGGTTGCCTGGGGCTGGGTGGGAATAGGGGTTGACTGCAAAGGCGCACAGGGATCTTTTGGGATATTCAAACACTGGATCATGCCAATGGCAGCACAGTTCAGCTAATTTACTAGAAACCACTGAATTGTGCACTCCAGTTGGGAGCTTTTATGATACGTAAGTTATAGCTAATAAAGCTGTTAGAAAAAAAAAAAAAAAACAAGAAGAGGAGCTGACCCTGTGCCCTTCCTCCAATCCTAGCTGAGTGGAAACCCTTCAGAGAAACACAGGCCCAGAAGGTGCCTGAAGCCATGGGCGTTCCTGCTGGGCTCAGATGGAGAAGCCCCAGCACAGCTGCCCAGCCCAGAGTTCTGCAGCAACTAGCTGAGACTGCTCTACAGAACTGTTCTTTTTTGCAACGAGCAATGATATGCAAGGGAATTTCCAAACCAAAATGAGACCCCTTCTTTATTATTCCCCAAACACCCCTGCATTATTTTGCAATGCAAAATTCATGCCTCCTCAAGCCAATTACTTGGGAAATGTGATATGCAATAATGAATTATACATGTGTTTTCTTTGTGAATTTTTTTTCTCCTCAGGGATGCTAATTATGAGATAAATTGTTGGGGGTTTTATGTCTTGGAATAACTCCTTGTCACATCAGAGCCCCTCTTGCTACGTATTGCCAAGCTAATTGGTGGCTTCCAAAGAGGAGGATATAAGTCATTTTCAATTAGGGTAGCAAAATGCTAAAAGATAAAAAAGTACCAGTCATACATATTCATCTGTAATACTGATATTATATACTGTCTGTGTATATTTATATCAGAAACAATGAATGAAAATTCAATACACTATTTCTTTGAGAGATTCTGATGGAGTCCTTAGTGTGATATTTTTCCACTTTGAGATGCATGTGCTTCCCCTTGTGTTACAGCTGAGAAGTCATTCTTGATACATTAAAACTCCATTTAGATGGAGAATATATCTCTGTGGGTGTCCGGTGGCCAACATACAACAGTTCTCTTGTTGAAAGAAAGTCTTTCAAAGCTAATAAGTTATTCATCAAAATAAGGCCCAAGATCTCCACTCCGCGGCTTCCGTGACAACAAGGATAGGGAATGGCCGATCTCTCTGTCGTGGCTTATCTCAGAGCTATCGCATTATAAGAGCTGTTTCATAATTCTATCAAGCAAGACCTCTGTGACCCTTATGTTACTCCTCAAGGACCTATAAGCCCTTTCTTATTCAAAATCACTTCTTTGTGCAGATCAGAGTATCTGTTTTGAAGCAGAAATTTCAAAAAGCCATAGGTAACTTTTGAGTCTCATTCTACCTAACAGTCTTGTAAAACGTAGAGCTACTTAGTAATTGTACACCACTCTGACTCCAGTTCCTCTCAACACATAAAGTAGTCCATTACTGAAACTTACTGAAACATGGAAAAGAAACTCAATTCCCTAAACCCGTTTAGAATACCATAGTCTCCCAGAAGAATTCTCCCCTGTCAAAAACATAATCATATCAACACACAAGGTACCAGAATTCACTAAGGAAATACATGTTTTTTTTTAAAGATATTTTTCCATAGGACACACATGTGACACAGAGAGAAGGAAAGTGAGAAGCCACCCCCAGGGGTATGGCCACACTATAATCCCTTCTTCATTCTCCTCTTGGGATTTTGGGCATGCATGCATACTTGGCCCAAAATGTTTTTCAGGTCACTGCGTCTGGGACTTGAACCACACAGTTGGCCATGTTGGATCCAGCCTCCTTAACCACCATGCTACTGGCTGGCCCAGTAACAGGCTGTTTTTAATGATAGACTAATGAAATGTCCTAATGAGCTATCTGAGAAATACTGTTATTCAGAATTACCTACAATTTTGAATAATGTGGTATTAACTTTAAAAAGATGCTGACATTTGATCGGTTAAGAAATCCTCAGAGGGACCAGCAGATGGTGTAACAGTTATATTGCTGGATCCCATGTTGTTGAGCACAGTCTGAGTCTCAGACCTGGCAGCTTAAAACTCATGCCGGCACATGTGCATGCATGCCCAAAATCCTGAGAGGAGAATGGAGGAGAAGGGATTGTGATGTGGCCATCCCTGCTAGGGGTCAGTTCTCATTTTCTGTCTCTCTGGGTAGCACACATGCCCTATAACAAAAATCTTAAAACAACAACAACAACAACAAACCTCTGAAAACCTTAGCAGAGTACTGACTTTTTTTTTTTCTTCTGTAAACTCCTGAGGCCAGAATCCTCTGACTTAAAAATAAAAGTTTATTTATTTCTTCCATGAGCATGTGAGCGAGAGAGACCAGCACCCCAATAGGGTCTTGGTGCCTCTCGCTTCAGCCAGCCCTGGATCATGGGTACGTGCATGCCCAGCATACCAGGGGAGGTCTTGGCCTTGCAGAGTGTATGTAGCCTTTTACTGCGGCACCACAGCCTGGCCCCAGACTCATCCCACTTTTTTTCTAATATATATTTCATTTTAATTTATCTTATACATTCAATCACTATACATCACTTAGCTTGTAAAGTGAATTCTCCCAACATGAATATACTTCACCCCAGTCCAGCTGAGGATACTATACACGTTATTATCCACAGATAATCAGCCATTTTTGTGTCCCATAAATGTCTTGCCTCTCTATTTTTTCCTTAATATCTTTCCTCACACTCTCCCCCTTCTCCCACCCCACCTCACATTATTTTGGGGAGAGATTTTTGCTATAGAGCACGTCCACTCACCAGAGAGACAAAGACAGACAGAGAGACACAAAGTGAGAAATCACCCCCAGGGGGATGACCACACTGCAGTCCCTTCTCCTCTGTTCTCCTCCTGGGATCTTGGGCACACATGCACACATACCCAGGATGAATTTCAAGCTACTGGGTCTGGGACTCAAACCGCAGTCAGCCATATGGGAGTCCAGCGATGTAACCACTATGCCATCTGCTGGTCCCACCATCCCACTTTTGAAAGATCATTAGAATAAACCAGTCTTGTTGCCACAAGTGGCTAAGTACTTCACTATGAAAAAGTTCAAATGATTTGAGGTTAGGAACAATTACCCTGTGCACTTTAAGCATCAGTTGCCCACTCGTGCCGAGAAGGTGCTCAGTGAGTAATTCTTGAATAGCAGCAGCTCATGCCAAAAGCCTAGCTGTAAGGTGGCCACCCCACGCCAAACTCTGTTCTGCTTACCCGCAAAAGTCTCTGTGCATGGATTCACTCCTGCAAGACGCTTAGAGGTTCCAAAATCGGAGATTTTCACCACTCCACTGTAGGTGTTCACCAGAACATTGTCACCCTTTAAAGAGCAATATCAAGTGCATAAAGACAGATTTAAATGAATCAACATGACACAGATCAGGACCTGAGAAACTGTCACAAGTCTCTAGGAAGACTATACTGGCACTTTGGGGACCACCATGCTTAATCGTATCCCTCTGTGAGCCTGTCACTCAGTAGACACAGCTGACAGCTCTCATGATCTGCTGTTCCGAGCAAAACAAAACCTCAGCAGATTAAAAAAGCAGCTACCTTTATGTCCCTGTGCACGATCTGGTTTTCGTGGAGATACTTAAGGCCTTCCAGGATCTGTTTGGTGTAAAACTTGATGGTAGGCTCCTTCATTGGCCCCCATTTGGATCGCAAAAGAGCAGAAAGGCTTCCTAGAAATGGACACAGCAAAAGCACTCATCAGGATAACCTAGATTTTTTTTTTAAAGAATTATTTTATTTTAGGGCCAGCAGGTGGCACGGTGGGTAGGGGGGCTGGACTTCCACATGGCCAACTGTGTTTCAAGTCCCAGACCTGGTTGGTGGCTTGCTTTCTCACTTTCCCCCACCCCCTCACTCTCCCCCTCTGTGGTCAAATTAAAATGAATGGATGAATGAATGAATAAATAAAACAAAATAAAATAATTTTTTAAAGAATTATTTTATTTAACTTGATTTATTTTTATTATTTTTAAGTTCGACCCAAGAGAGACAAAGAGAGAGGGGAGAAAGCAAGAGAGCAAATCATCAGGTCCAGGACTTGAACCATAGTTGGCCATGTGGGAGTCCAGTGACTCAACCACCATGCTATCTGCCAGCCCTATAGATAAGCAAACTTTCATTGTGAGAGAATAGAGTGAGGTGATGCTTCTAACCTGATGTAAGAGCTCACATCAGCACCATCGTATCTGAGCTAAATGCCAAGCCTTTCCTCCCTCTCTACAGCTAGGGCAGGGAGTGACTAGAAGCAAGTCAGCATAGTAGCCTGACCAGAGGTGGAGGGCAAACAGGAACCCCGAATCACCCCTGCAGTTCAGTTGGGCCAACTTTGGGTTTAGCTCTGCTCAGTTGCCCAAAGTCAGGAGGAGAGAGAAACCATGCTCTGTCAACTTGGAGTCAGGGCCCAATGTCATAGCTAACTCAGGTGCGTGACACTTGTTTTGCTGAACAACTGTCTCAGACATTGTGCTTGGGTTGGAGTCATGTTTTCTACCTTGTCTTGTGATCAGAGGAGGACAGGTCTAGAGTGAGGGGCTCTTTAGGGTGATAGAGACTAGGATTGGAGAAGGTAGGGCCTTTCTGCTTTCATGTGAGAAGGCCCCATTGCAGATCACAAGGACAGGACCATCTTGATTAACAACCTCGTTGCCCCAATTGCACTATCAAACACTGAATACGAGGGCTGAAAGAAAAACTCTCTTCAGGACATTCTGACCACGTGTCTCAGAGGTTGTCATGAGAGCTGCAGGCCCTCAGGCATCAGCTGGTCTCAGCTTCGCCACTTCCACACACTGTGGGACCTTGCTCGAGCTCGGTTTCCCCATCTGTGAGCGGGAATAAACACATCTATTTCTAATTCTGTTGTTGCCCTTAAACCTAATGTCTGGAACATCAACTAATATGAATAGCAACTGACCTATTTTATGCAACTTGAGGGAAAGAAGAATTTTATTTATCTTTAATGTAACCCACAAAACATAGCCCACTGCCTGGCTCCTAACCTATGTAATCATACTCAATACAGCAGTAGGCTCTTAATTAACTGTTGGTTGGTTGAATGAATGAATAATGCAAATTTCTAATGGAAGTTTTTACATTTTTATTTAGCTAATAATAATTATTTTATTAAAATTTTTATTTCTTTTAATATTAGTTCAATAAGGACTTACTAAGTTCTTGTCCTCTGCTAAGCAACAAGAGCTATACATGCATTATCTAATTTAATCTACCCAACAACCCAAGATAGGGTTATTATTAGTCTAATAATTGTTACCCTAACTATTACAGTACTTATTATTACTTCAATTTTACAATTCATTTATTCAAGCAAAAAGCTAAGGACACAGAAAGTAACATCTGCCCAAGGTCACAGAGCTTGTAGTTAGCCAGATCTATTCAAATCAGAGCCTGGTTCCAGCTCCGAGGAATTCTTATCTCCTATATTCTGTCACCTGCATTTGTGGGTTTTGTGGATAAAGCACTGGTGTCTCATTTCATTATAGATATGTTATTTTGCAATGTCACACTCAAAACCAAAGTCCTTTCTTTACCCATCCTCAAACCGTCGGTTTTTTGTTTGTTTGTTTTTTGAGAGGTTTTTCCTATAGGGCACGTGCATTCGCCAGAAAGACAGAGAGAGACAGAAAGCAAGAAATTACCCTCCGGGGGGGAGGAGGATGGCCACATCACAATCTCCTTTCCTCCATTCTCCTCTCAGGATCTTGGGCACACATGCACACGCGCTCGGCATGAGTTTAAGCCACTAGGTCCAGGACTCAAACTGGGTCAACTACATGGGAGTCCAGAGACATAGCCATTACACCAAACCATCCTTAAACTCCAAACCATACTTAAACAGCCCAGTGGCTGGTACTCAGGACACAGTCAATGAATACTTATTGGTTGAATAAACAAAGCAGAAATAGACTGCTTATGTGATTTTGGAAAGTCTGTATCCAACTCTTCTGAGAATCAAATGCTTTCTGACATCTAAAAGGTACGTCATTTTAAAAATGGCAGGATGATCAATGATGTCCATATTAGATCTTCATTAGCAGTTTTCAGAACGTGAGACCAAAATTCAGTGCTGCTCACCTCCAGGCACCTGCTCCATAAATATCTTAATGTAGCCATTCTCCGAAACAGAGCCCAGGTACTGAACAATGTTGCGGTGCTTGAGATACTTGTGCAGGGCTATCTCTTCGTGCAGAGGCTGAGAATACCTAGAGGGAAAAACCACAGCTAGCGTCACCTGCCAAAGTCCAGGGGCTCCAGACCCACGTCACACCTCACCAGCACCTGCCCTGCTGCTGGTCACCCCTTCTTTCTCTCCCTTGGCTTCCATGAGACTGCTCAGTTTCTCACTTGTAAGATAGGACACCACCACCAGGTGCATAGGGCTGTGGGGGACCAAAGCTGTCAAGTTTCTCAGACACCTAATGACGTGACTGGCATGTGGTAAGTACTCGACTACTGATGACTGCTATTGTTGCTATTACCACCGTTTGGGCCTGAATTCACTCAGCATCCTCTCTCAATAGCCCCCTTTCCTCTGCTTCCTATGAAAGGGAGGGACTGTTCTAGAAGGTTCTCTTCTAAGCTGCCTTTTAGTTTTACTCTATAGATTTACCTCCAGTCACAACAGCAGCAACCTAATGGGTCACCCAGCCTCAGCCTCTGGCCTTTTCAGATTATTCCCCACCCCTGGTTACTACCTCTTGTGATAACACATACTTCGCTGTATCATCTCCCTACATAAATTCTACATAAAGGCCGCATTGTGTAACATGGCACATGAGGACCTTTGGAATTGGTGAGCCTACACCTGTTTGCATGTTTGCCTCATCTCAAGAGCCCTCCACTGTCCCACATCCTACATTCAAGTCACATCAAACAATCTGTTGTCCTCTGAATGTACTCCATGTTATTTATTTTTTTTTAAAGAGAAATTTTTGTTATACAGCACATACGCTTGCCAGAGAGACAGAGACAGACAGAAAGCAAGAAATCACCTCCCGGAGGCATGCCCCCACCACAATTCCTTCTCCTCCATTCTCCTCTTGGAATTTTGGGCACACATGCACAAGTGTCTGGCATGAGTTTTAAGCCACTGGTTCCAAGACTTGAACCACGGTTGACTCTTTCCAAGCAATCTAACCATTATGCCATCTGCTGGCCGCTGGCCTCACGTACTCTGTTTTGTTTTGTTTTGTTTGACAGAGAGATTTTTGCTATAGGGCCCGTGTGCTCGCCAGGGACACGAGGAGAAAGAAGGTGAGAAATCACCTCTCAGGGAGATGGCCACAATGCAATCCCTTCTCCAGTCTCCTCTCAGAATTTTGGGCAGGCACACACATATACCCAGCGTTGGTATTAAGCCACCAGGTCCAGGCCTTGAACTGTGGTCGATTATATGTGAGTCCAGTGATGTAACCATTAAGCCATCTGCTGGTCCCTATACTCCATGTTTTAATAACTATTCTTCCCTCAACATAGGCCTCCTTTTCTGCCAAACAAACTCCTACTCATGCTTAAAAGAGCAGCTCAAAGATAATTTATTTTCTCAAACTCGCTACAACTCACCCGACGAAAGTAAGTCACCCCTCGTAGCATTCTAAACACACTCTATGTGTCCCTCTATTATGGAACTTGTTGCTCTGATTCACAGGTGAAGTATCTGCGTACGCACCAAAATGGTATTGCCCTGGGATTAGGGTCATATCCCAGCCACCTTTCAGTCAGTCCCTAGTTTGGCCTGGAATCTGGAAAGAAGGCATCCTTTATCAGTTCAGCCTGTAAAGTTAGGGCCTGGACGAAAGTCTCCGGGTCCCTTCTGTTCTAAATCCCCAGGAACTACTATTAGCAATGAAAAGCTGGAACATTTATTGCTACCAATTGAAGGAGCTAGGACATGCCAGCAATTTCCCCAGATGTATCCAGCTGGGACATTCGTCCATCAGTAGAATAAGACATAAAGTAGTAGATAGGAACTCAAGAGACCTAGATCCTAGTCTTGTTTCTACACATCCATGGGGAAGTCATTTAATCTTCCTCAGCCTTGGTTTTCTTATTGGTAAAATGAGGAAATTGGGCTCGTTCTTTTCAGGCCTGGTCTTGCAATTCACATATTGTAACATGCTATCCCTCTGAAAATCAACAAATGAATGAATGGTCTTACAGCCTGCAGAAATCACTTGAAACCATCCCTAATAAATCAGTGATCACCTACCTAGAAGGATGTTTGCGCGTACCCATCAGCGCCGGGCACTGGTGGCAACCCCGCAGATGCGGTCTGACGTGCCTGTGGGCCATGAGCCTTAAGCTATGGCCATTATTGTTGTATATAGAAATGCATCTCTACAGAAATGCTGGGCAGTCAACACTGCAATGCTCTTGGTTAGAATTAGGTGGCGTATAAATTCAAAAAGAAGTGAACATTTCATAATAAACTGAAAAAATATCGAAGAAATAAATGAGTACTGATAGTACAAAGAGAGCTCCAAATCAATCCATGGGTAAGGCTGAAGGGCAGAGTGGTTTTCGTTTTTTGTTTTGTTTTGTTTTCGTTTTTGTTTTTCAAAAAGTCTGTATTGCAAAAAATAGCATTTTCACCCCCTTTAATTTTCTGTATGTTCTGTAAGGATACATCCAAACAAATCATGGCCAATGTTCAGTTGTGACTTAAAAGTGCTCAGTCACATTTTAAAAAATATTTGCAAACAACTATCCATCCAAAAATGTAAAATTTTAGACCTAGTTGGTGAGTGGAAATACAACTACAATTTTCTTATATTGGGTCATCGGAAAAGTAATGACATATTTTTCTATGCAAAAGTGCATCAAGACTTTTCTGATGACCCAATATAATCCTGTGGCTAGCAGGTGGCATGGTGGCTAAGGCACTGTATCCCCCATGGCCCAAAATTGAATGATTCGAGTCCCAGACCTAGAGGCTTGAAATACACATCAGGCACATGTTCATGCATGCCCCAAATCTGGAGAGGAGAATGGAGGAGAAGAGATTGCAGTGTGGCCATCCCCCCTGTGGGGTGATTTCTCACTCCTCCCTCCCCCCCACTGTCTGGTGAATGCACAAACCCTATAGAAAAAACCTGTAAGGCACATGCCTCTAAGTGAAGTTGTTCCGTTTTCTCTATTTAGAATACATGAGAACAAAAGCAGATCGCTCTATTACAAGACAGTTACAAGTTTCATGATAACATAATACTTTCGTCTTTAACTGCTCTGCACCACGGAGCGTGGACATGGGATTGTGGGTGTTGAGATGACAACCGAAGAACTGAAGAATGTGGAAGGCCCAGCGCCACTTGCCTGCTGTCTCTCTCCGGGATTTCTTTGATGGCTATTCGCACTTGATTGCTCAGATCTCGGCCGGCATACACAATCCCGTACGTGCCTTTCCCCAAGATGACTCTATCACCATTTGCGTCATGGTCATACTCATACTTAAGAAGGGAACAGGAGGAGATGAAGCACACAACTAGCAGTGAAGAAGCCCCCAAAAAAACCAAAAGTTGCCCAACAATTGTTTATAAATAACATTATTTGAATGTCATTCAAGTCAGAGTTCTCAGATTATGTAGTTTTCATTAAATCAGGAACTTAGGGGCCAGCAGGTGGTGTTAAGGCACCTGAGTCCCACATGGTTGACTATACAGTTTGAATCCAAACTCAGCGGCTTAAAACATATTCCAGGTGCATGTGCATGTGTGCCTAAAATCCCAAGAGAAGAGATTGTGGTGTGGCCATTCTCCGGGGAGGGGGAGGGATTTCTCATTCTCTCTCGCTCTCTTTCTCTCAAAAGCACACGCACCCTATGGTGAAACAAAAAATACATACATACGTACGTACATACATACATAAAAGAGGGAAGAAAAATAAATAATGAATTTAAAGGGGTAGAATTCTAAGTTGTTCATATATTCATTGTACTTTATGAAATGAAGACATGACTATATAAAATGAAATCCAAGAAAATTAAAAATACGACTCACATGTAATTAATGAGCTCACCTTTTAGAGATTAAATGTTGTAATTTAAAACTGTTTCTAAGCATGTTAAGGACTCCACATAGGTGTCTTCCAACAGAATCCCTGCTAACTTGTTAGGAAACAGATCTCTTTCAATAGCCCAGGAAAGAATTGAAGGTCAATAAAACAGTCTTAATACAAAGTATATATGCTGGGATTTTCCCCTACTTTCAGTCACATAGATTGAGCATTGAATACTTTCCACAGAAATTCAATTTACGATTCACACTGCTATTTTGTTCACCCAATCTGATTGTCAAAAGCTGTCGCACATAGCTTATTCCAGCTGACTCTTCCCAGTGATTAAAACAAACATAACTGCAACACTTATTTAAAGCGGTGAGGCAGCAACAGACTATTTCTGTTCTTTTTCATGCTCCACTGTGTCTACTTATAGAAGTGTAGCTTCGACCAGAACAGTGTGTGTATGTGTTTGTGTGTGTGTGTTTGTGTGTCCCCCTTCCCATCTACTTCTAGGGATGCTCGGTAACAATTTGGATTGTAAAAGAGCACCTGACACTGTCTGATTTCAACAGCAACCAGCCTGCTCCATGAAAGGCTTATTTCACACTTTTCTCTGTCCCCCACATTTTTTTCCTTCAGGGTATATCATGCAGTTTATTTCTGTAACAGACTTTGATTCTAAGCTAAGAATTTGAATGATCAATTAAATGATTCAAAGGAACCCCTTTGATGTTTTCTTCCTTTTTTCAATCTTCAAAAAAGTTTCTTTCTTTCATGAGGTGGGCAGGCACCCCAAATAGGATCTGAATGCCACGATTCATCCCCAGTCTCAGCCAGCTCAGGTCATAGGCTCACATGTGTGTGCTTGGCATGTTCAGGGAGGTTCTAGGATGCAAACCCATGACCTATCCAATATAGGTCTAGTTATGTTACTGTGTGCCACCATCTAGTTCCTGATATTTTCTGAAAGAGACCAAGGAATTCGTTTCAGTCTAACTTAAAAGTACATTAAATTGTAATCACTGGGAGAACCAAAATTAGTAATAAATTCGAGTAATTGTACAAGATTAAAATATATGTATAGGGGCCAGCAGGTTGCATAGTGGTTAAGGCCCTGGACTCCCACATGGCTGACTGCAGTTCCAGTCCCAGACCTGGCAGAAGTTTGAAAATCATGCTGGGTACATGTATGCATGTGCGCCCAAAATCCCAGGAGGAGGATGGAAGACAAAGGATTGCAGTGTGGCCGTGCCCCCTGGGGAGGGATTTCTCACTCTCCCTGTCACTGTCTCTCCGTCTCTCTCCTGTGTGTACACATGTCCTATGGCAAAAATCTAATGAAATAAATGTATAACAGGGTAGTAACTGTAGACTAGATTTGGGCTGCCCAAAAAAGCTTATGATGATCCTGTTTTCTTAAACGTGATGTTAAAATGGTTATACTTACTGGGCCAGCAGGTAGTGTGGTAGTTAAGGCACTGGACTTTCACATGGCTGACCGCAGTTCAAGTCCCAGACCTGGTGGCTTGAAAATCATGCCAAGCACGTGTGTGTGTGTGCCCAAAATCCCAGGAAGAGAATGAAGGAGAAAGGATTGTGGCATGACCATCCTCCCTGGGAGGTGATCTCTCACTTTCCCTCTCACTGTCTCTCTCCAGCAAGCACACATACTCTGCGGCAAAAACCTTAAAAATTGTTATATTTATTTTTATTTACATTTAATAAAAATTGTTATACTTAATATACTATGTACAAGTAGATCTAACTAAAGTTATTTTAGGCATAAATGAAAAAGACTATTTCCAGATGGCTAACTATTTCTATTGCAGTCTCAGAGCCATTGTAAATTAACTTAAGTTTTATACAAAAGGAAATTTTTAAGTTTAGTCCCTGACCAAATTTTTCTTAAACATTCTGACAGAGAGAGTCCCAAAATAATGAGATTTTTTTCCCTATAGACACATTAGGCTTAATCTCTGAGGGCCATGTATAGTGATGTCAGGGTGGTTTATAAGTATTTTCAAATACACTCAGAGGATTTTTACACAAAAATGGGACACGTTCTTCAAGCAAAGACAAAATAGATAGGGTTCAGATGGTGATACAGTGATAATGCAATACTCTGCAAGGCTGATTCACATGGAAGGTTCTGGATTCATGTCTGGAGAACTCCCTGAACATGCCACATACATGTGTGTCCACGATTCGGGGCTTGCTGAGGCCAGGAGTGGATCATGTCATGAGGATCCTGTTGAAGGTGCCCTTCTCTCTCTCCTTTTCTCCCTTTCTCCATCTAACTCTCTCACTCATGGGGAAAAAATTAACAAAAAAGACAAAATATATCACTTTTTTGCATGTTCTAGGTTTCTCATGACTCACCTCTAAGGTATCTCCATCCATCTCTCCTTCCAGCTCCACTGTACTTCCCACAGTATTGCTTATCATCTCCTTGACCAAAGAGCAAAATCTAGAAGAGCAAATGTCACATAGATGCTGCTATATATGATCTCTTTTGTTCCCTCCCTTTAACCTGCCCTATTTCATTAAACTGTACTTAAATACAAACCAAACTTCTACAAGTCATGGAACAATCAATCCACTCCTGGATTCGACATGGTACTTCAGTGGTTATCTAAACTAGTCTAAATATATTCATGATTTTTGAATCCTTTCTATACAGTATCTCCTCCAACTGGGGGCCAATCAATGTTTGAACACCTATAGCAGCAGAGAACTTGTTATCTCCCAAAGGCAGGTCATTCTTTGGAGAATTTAACAAGGAATGTTTCACTTTTATTGAACTAATGACTTCTTTCATATGGATTCTACCCACAGATTGCTTAGAATTAACCTTTTTTTCTATACTACAGTCCAACAGAAATGTATATAACATTATCATTCCTGTGAAGTCTTTCCTTCTTGTTCCTTCCCTCACTGTCTCCCCCAAAACTTGTGGGTCACTTCTCTAAGAGGTAATTTATATATA